TTTTGCTGCCACTCACTGGTTGGATTCCACTCGCTGGTTGCTGCAGCCCAAGAATTACGCGAATTGAATATTTTGGTTGCGATGGGAACTGCTTTTTGAATATCTGAGAGAACCATGGTTTGCACTCACGGATGGACATTGCAAAAACAATTCTCCGGTTCATCCGGGACATGGTATCGGACCAATCCTCACCGTCATGCCTTGCCCAGCCGACAATCAATCGAAACATTTTCCGCTGAAATTTGTTCACCGGGAAATTTTCAGATTTGTCTAAAGGCAGGGTAGCCAAACCAAACCAGATTGCAGGAGAGATGACGGCAGCAAGCAATTTAAAACGCAAATGCAAGGCAACAACAAATTTGCGTTTGTGAAAAAGGATCGGCTCAAGACACCAGCTGCCCGCTCCTATTGGGGTATGCCGCAGATAGACAACAACGCCCCAGAATTATTGTGGTTCCCGCCCAGGACGATACATTTTTTCCTCCTGCATATCAAGGCAAGTTATCGAGTCGATGTCGCTGGAACGGCACAAAAGGTTATACGACCCTTAGCTGGAATCCAGATGCTGCAACCATCAATGTAAAAAGGATGTTCCAAACAGGAGGTTGTGAACAATTTTGTCTTGGAAGTGCTCACATGCAAGCCTGCGCGGTTGTGTTCCACAACCAATCTCAACATCTCCACCAATTCCTTCCATGACTTCCCGAATAACAAAAGATCGTCTACAGAACGGATATTTGTAAGTCAGCTGGAAGCACCAGCGTGTAAACCACGTGATTTCAAAGATTGTTTCCAATTTCGCATGGCGTGCTCCAACCCAGAAGAGTCCCAGGTTTATTCACCGGCTCAAGTTACCAAAATCAACTCACTGCACTATAAAGCTCTTCGACAGATCCTGCAAGTTAAAAACTCGTTCTATCACAGAGTTTTAAGCCCAAGTGAAGCACCTTGCTCCAACGAACATTTGATAGCCTTAGCTTACGCTATCCATCCTTCACTTTTTCCTCCATCCCTTCGGATATCTAACACCAGACTGAAATATCTAGGACATATCCTCCGCCATCCGCGATCCTTCGAACACCAGATCTGTCTTCATTCGTCCTATTCTCTCCGCACTATTTCGTCCCCTTTGAGAAAAGGAACCCCAAGAGCGCACTGGCCTGAAATGGCCCTGGCTGAAGCATCTAACAAAGTCCAAATGATTACACGCAAACAAATGCCCGCTCCAGGAAAATTTTTGCATGAATATTACCAACTCTTTACAATTCATGAGCTCAAAAACTTTGTCTCATCACACATGCCACGATGGTACAATACTACTCCCCACATTCGTAGAATACTCCCGGTAGCACAGGATCGTGAATTATGGAAAAGAACTTCGCGCTAGATGATTGTTCCAACCTGTCGCTGTGCGTCTTTTGCTGCTGTCATGTTGCTCGGAGTGTTTCTGAGTGACATTGCGCCTGCGAAAAAAAACATGAATATGAAGAGGGCTTGAAACATCCCCTTGCCACCCCACGTGTGATGTTGAAACCAAAAGGCTGCCGCCAACATTTCCAGATTGATTCGTGTATAACCGGCGTAACACGTGCAGGTTCGTGTCTGGAACTCTTTGTGCTCGCAGTGCTTGATGAATGATGTCTTGTACGTTCGAAAGCTTTCTCTAGATCAAGGCTGGTAAACCACATTTCAGATTCCCAGGCCAAACATTTGCCACAAACATTTTCCAAAATCACCATCGCATCATCAATGCCAAGACCTCGTCGAAAGCCAAACTGGTCTGCAGGTTGCTCGTTCTCCAAGAAAGGCGCCAGACGATTCAACAACAACCCAGCAAAAAATGTAACTAATCTTCAAGACCGGTATTGGTCGCCAACTGCTTGGTTTCGAGGAACCCCCTGTTTTTGGTAGCATCGTGAAACAGTGCGGTACCATGCTATCATTCTGTTGAAAATATCCATTAAACATTGCAGCAAATCTTCGCCTGTGTAATCGAACATCTCAGCCTCAATTCCGTCTGCACCTGCGCACCTTCCAAATGTCAATGTTGAGACCACTGCCTTCAGTTCAGAGAGGGAAAATGTTGGACTAGTTTCCGTGGGTTCGCCTGCTGAAGGGTCCAATCCGGAACCATTCTTGCTGTGTCGGGGCACTGCGTAAGGAGTGCCTTTCATCGGTTTCCAGTCAAGACTGCGCGCGTGAAATCTATTGAGATTCCTGCCTGATACATAGTCATGACTAGAAAAACAAGGAAGGGCAACCAGCACAAAATAGAGTTTCGCACGGGTTTATGGGAACAAACCATGGACTGGAATATTGGCCAGCCTGCTGAAGCCAGCAACCGCAGGTTGCTTAAAAATTCAAGAGGAGATAAAAGTTGGATAATGATACTTGCATTGACATAAAGAACCCTGGGGTCCACCATGAAACTTCCAACACCGATGATGAAAGTCGCAAAACCATAAGTTGTTCTAGTTCCCAACCCTGAAACTGGAACACTGGAACCTTTGAACCCTTGAACCCCGGAAACAAAAAATTCTCAAATTTGGAAAATGGCAAATGCCTTTGCTGGGGAAACTTGAGCGGTACGAAAACATGAAATCTCCTTGTTTCACGACCCTTCCGTCCAGGATGTAAAGAAGCGGTTTAATTATTGTGATAAACGATTTAAACCAATGAACAATGTGGGGTCTTGGCACGTCTTGGTCCAATAGAGTTTCAGGCAAAAGGCCGTATTCCCAACTCACAGAGGCAGATTCCATTTTGGGGCATCTGGGATGCTAGTGATGGAGGGGAATTGTGGGCTGTGGGGAGGGCCCGTGGGCTACGAAACATGTGCCTACATTGCCCACACAGTTACACACCGAGATGCGCGGAACATCGGTTTACTCAGTGTATGCATGTGACATGGTGTGGTTGCACGTAATACGTTTTACAGACGGTTGAGCGTTGCTGGTTGTGGGCACTCGTTTTTGTAAAGTTGTTCGACGGGCCGATTGAAATTCCCAAGCCACTTTTGGGAACAAACCTACGCGTGATCTCCATGCGTTGGTGCTGTCATCGCGCACCGGTTGCTTTGAGTGAATAGGTGTGCAAACAGCACCTTGGCACGTATGAAATTGATAGTCACTTTCGGACATGTGGGAACATGTTTTTAGAGCATCGGAGATTACACGTCGAATATACCATGATTAACAGACCCTGGGGGAAACCAGTCGCGTTTCCAAAGCAATCACCAAGTCACAAAGGCGAGTTCGGTGTGCCAAACTTCTCTTGAAACAATTCTTGGGGTAGGGTGCCCGCATGGCAACAAGAAAAACATAATTTTGCCACGGCATGGCCACAAACAGTGCTTTTGCAGTATAAGCACAGTTTCAATTGTCAACTGCCGTGGCGATGTTGGGCCACTAAGTTCCAGTGAGGAATTTTGTTGCCAGACAGTTCAAACCTCTCATGTTCCACAGCGGATAGTGGATCATCTCATCATGCGCCTTCGATACTTGGCGGCAAGGGCCGACATTTGCGTAGGCATGCTTCAGAATGTCACTTTTGGAACCCGCATCATTTGGCAACGTCCTCATCATCATCATCATCATCATCATCATCATCATCATCATCATCACCAATCTCATTCTCGTTGCTGTTGCTGCTGCTGCTGCTGCTGTGGTTGTGGTTGTGGTTGTTGTGGTTGTTGTGGTTGTTGTGGTTGTTGTGGTTGTTGTGGTTGTTGTGGTTGTTGTGGTTGTTGTGGTTGTTGTTGTTGTTGTTGTTGGCGGTGGTGGTGGTGGTGGTGGAAGTGGTGGTGGTGGTGGTGGTTTTTGTTGTTGGTTGTTGTTGGTTGTTGTTGGTTGTTGTTGGTTGTTGTTGTTGCTGCTGCTGTTGCTGCTGTTGCTGCTGCTAATGCTGTGGTTGTGGTTGTGGTTGTGGTTGTTGTTGTTGTTGGTGGTGGTGGTTGTTGTTGGTTGTTGTTGGTTGTTGTTGGTTGTTGTTGGTTGTTGGTTGGTTGGTTGGTCGGTTTGTTTGTGTTTGTTGCTGTTGTTGTTGTTGTTGCTGCTGCTGCTGTTGCTGCTGTTGCTGCTGCTGCTGTGGTTGTGGTTGTGGTTGTTGTTGTTGTTGTTGGTGGTGGTGGTGGTGGCGGTGGTTGTTGTTGGTTGTTGTTGGTTGTTGTTGGTTGTTGTTGGTTGTTGTTTGTTGTTGTTTGTTGTTGTTTGTTGTTGTTTGGTCGGTCGGTTGGTTGGTTGGTTGGTTGGTGGGTTGGTGGGTTGGTGGGTTGGTCGGTTTGTTTGTGTTTGTTGTTGTGGCTGTTGTGGTTGTTGTGGTTGTTGTGGTTGTTGTGGTTGTTGTGGTTGTTGTGGTTGTTGTGGTTGTTGTGGTTGTGGTGGTGGTCGTTGTGGTGGTGGTGGTTGTTGTTGTTGTTGTTGCTGTTGTTGTGTTTTTGTTTTGTTTTTGTTGTTGTGTTTTTGTTTGTTGTTCAATCTCGGCGCACACTGGTATTTCAAATTTGATGCATGACCATGTGGTTTTAATATGGTCAATTTTGATATTGAAACCGCTGTGTGAGGCCAGTGTGTGGAGGACTGATTGCAGCCTGGGGTGCAAGGATTTTTTACCAGCACATATTTTTCAAACTGAATGCGTTTGTCCAAAGGGAATCCAATTTTTTCATTTATAGTCTTGGGTTGGGGAACTTGGCAAAGTGGAAAAACTATTGAGTCTTCACCGGCATGCGCCTTGCAGATTGAAAAAATTATAGTCCCTCGGCTAAACCCAGTTTCCTCAATAATCCATTGGGCCTAAGGCCGTATCCGCTTTCCATAAAGGATTCTCGTAGTAAAAAAAAATCACGTTTTTAGCAAGTGTGTGAGTGCAGGGTTTAAAATACCTTGCCGGGGGGAATTTTGTGCGGAGCGGATCTCACAAAGTACAAACTGGTAAATTCCATGCCGCAGTTTGCGCTGCAGAGCATGCATGGCGTTGGCACAGCCGTTCAGGACCCAACGATGTGGGCCTCGGAGAACAAATCCCCGGTTGAGGCGTTGGCAATCCAGGCCAACACTGGGTCGTTGCCTCATCAATGCGCAACCTGGGAGTTTCTGAGGGCGGGGCTCCATCGAAAGAGACATGGGGTATTCGGGGTACCTTATTTCCAGATTTTTCAGCGTCTGTGAATGGCTGAAATTGACCGTGGATGTGGATGAAGATATCTAAAAACATTGGAAGGTTTTGGAAGTTTTAAAGGTGTTGGACGTGGCTATTATTTCAAACATGGTGGAAGTGTTGTTTGAGTAAACCGTGGTTGGTCAGGTTAATATTCAGACACTGCATGGAAAAATGGGTAAAATGTGTGTATCCTGCCCAGCTACTGTAATTCTTTTCTAAGGGTGGCGGATATCATTAAACAACTATGTTCCGGTTCTTGCAGTTGTTATGGAAGTTGTAGCTGTAGTGGTCGTGGCCATTTGCAGATGCAATTACGTGCAGACCCCAGTTCTGCTTGTGGTCGCTGTTGCTGCTACCATGCAGCCGCTGCTTCTATATAATTGCATTTGTTGTATTTTGTAGTATAGTATGTTGCATGTGTTGTGTTGCAGCTGTTCTCGTTGTTGTCATTGCTTTTGTGGTTTTCGCTCTTTTCGTCAATGTTGTTGCTGTGTTCGACTTTGTCGTTGTTGTTTGTTGTTGTTTGTTGTTGTTGTTGTTGCTGTTGTTGCTGTTGTCGTTGTCGTTGTTGTCGTTGTGGCAATTTGTTTTTTTGGTGGTGCTGGTGGTGGTGGTGATCAATTTTTTTTTGCTGCTTAATTAGTGCTTGGTACTGGCATGGTGTTGGCAGCTGCTGGGAAAAAAAACCGTGACGCAGGGTGCCAACCAGCGACGGACTGCATTCCACGTGGCCCGCGACCCAGTCGGCTTTCCATTTTCCGGTCCTGAATTACGGAATCTTTCTGGTCTTTGTGTTGCCATCCTCTAGACTAGATAGGAACTTAAAACCAGTTTTTCTCAAAGTTGGCCAGGTGTGCAAATACAACGCCCATCAAACCGCAAAGATTCAATTTCGAACCCAAATGCGTCCACAGACATGGGGGTTTCGTTCATGCATGCTCTGTTGGTTCGAAACAACCCTCGATTTTTTTTGGTAGTTCAATTCTCTAATGAATTTCAGGTCTGGCCGTCAAAATCGAAACTTTATCATTTGTACTTTTGTTTGCTTTTTGTTTCATGTAGTTGTTTCTTTGATTTTTTTTCCGTTATATAGTCTTTCAATTTGCGATCTCACCAACGTTTCATTTGATTATCTCCTTATATCATCTCTTATTTGATTAGATGCCTACTACTTGGTGGTTCAGCCCAGGAATCGTAAGTGGAGTGGGTCATACCCCCAGTTAGTTCAGGATAAGTGGGGTTAGTCAGTCCAGCGCCAAGAACTTGGAGAACCATCCCATTTTGTGACGTAACAGTGGTGAGTCTCCGATTCGCGTGCTAGCCTTTTGATGAATGGACCAATACACCCATAATATATGTATATGTATATGTATATGTATATGTATATGTATATGTATATGTATATGTATATATGTAATATATGTAAATGTAATATATATATATAAATATGTATATATATATACACGTATAACACATATACGTATGCATATTTATATATATACATACGTATATATATATATATGTGTGTAATATATGTAAATGTAATATATATATATATAAAAATAAATAAATATATATATATATATACATACACGTATAACATATATGTATATATATTTGTACAGTTTGGTCTATCCACTTCCTTGTCCAGGTGTCAGATCCAGGGCAGCCACGGCATCGGGATTTTCTTGGCACGGCTGGGGGCCCGAGAGGCAAAATACCTCTTGCGCTTGGGGTATAGCAACCAGCAAAAGTGAAAATAGTGACACTTTTGGTTCCAAGTAATGTCTTGGGTAAAGCAACCCCATTGGGTATACTAACCCCGAATTGCTATTCGTCAACCTCTTGATAAGTTGGATGCCTAGGTATGTGCTGTGTATGTGCGCGCACACATATAGTTCGATATAGATGTAAAACGTGTCTATATATCTTTATATATACGTATGGTTAGCGGTCGTGGGTGTGTATGAGTATGCACACGTATGAATTGAACAAACTAAGTCAGAGCATCATATCTGGAGATGATGCAAAGCGCTAGTGGGGACCACGCCAGCAATAATTCTGACACAATAAGCAAAAGTAGCATAGTAAAATTGCATCAGCGGTTAAACGGGTTAAACCATGATTCATGATGATTTTCTAGCATTGCACGCGACATAAATCTGAGCGTTACCTTTATGATTTTGATTGAAACCAGACTTTGGAACTTGGAAAAACGGGAAACATAGAGATCGAGATCTCGGTCAAAATGCACAATGATTACCCTTCGAATTCAACAGTTTCCCTTTGAAAATGGCCCAGAGATCAATGATTTACCTATTTCCATGCTATCAAATCCAGCTCACGGTCAACTCATCGGTCCAAGGACTGGGTGCCAAAGGGCCCAACCCGCCTAAGCCGAGACGAAGTGGCTCAGTTCTTGGCGCCGCGGCCAACGCGGCCAACGCGGCCGACGGCCTACAATTACACCGTTGAGGAGGTGATTTTTTTTTGGGGCGACCTTTGGGAGAATGGGGAATTTGCAACAGAAAACCAGCAGAAAATAGCCAAAATTGACGTGGGCTTACTTGGTAGATGCAAGTCGCCCTTCCAGGCCTCGTAAATTGGTTGACCACCATCAAGTGAGCCGCAATTGTTGGGGAGGAGTCTAGAAGGGATACAAAACCTGTGGCAGGAATTCTTGAGATTTGGATGGCAAAAACATGTTGGCACCAAACCCCAGGTTTGCCCACACCCAAAGGACACACCCAAACAATATCATATACTTGTCATCAGAGGATGAATGATAAAACCTGCTATACGCAGCGATCTTGACTTTAGGTTTTCAGGATTTAGGGTTTTAATTTAGGGTTTAGGTTTTTAGGCTTTTTGGGTTTTTGGGTTTAAGGTTTTGGAAAGTAAAAATGCTAGCCCTACGCAGGGATTTGAGCATGTCAAAGGATATGCGGGATCCTACAGGCCGCTCATACGGCGCATCATTCCAACGAAGAGCAGCGGGCCCTACGGAAGGCCATTGCGAAGGCGAAGTTGGGTGAAATCTGTCAGGATGATATGTTCCCAATGATTTTGGCCAATTGGTACTCAAGTCCTTGCCGAACTTGAGTGGAAGAACCTTTCCCAACATTTCGAATAAACCTTTCGGTCTTGGGGTCTGCATCCTCCCAGTTCGTCTTTACCCCAAACGGCCCGAGATCCAAGAGAAGATCACACAGCTGATTTCTGGTCACACTGGCGGGGATCAACATTGCACACCAAAAGATGACGAATTTTATGAGTCCATTGAAAGTTCATTGGTACCTGATGATTTTCGATCCATTTTCGATCTGAAGAAGGATGCAGCTAGATCTTGAGAATTTGGCAGCATCCGGCGGCTTGCAGCAGGATCATTCTCTGACAGCAGAAGAGGCAAAGTTCTTCTCCCTTTTGTCGGGTCCTGTCACGTTCCTGAGCCTTGTCAGATGATGAACCTGGGATTTGGGGTGCCCCAAACCCCCATGGAGCCATTCTGTTGAATATTCGTGCCCCTATAATGTAGGCACCCCTTTCATTTTATGGGTAAAACTACAGCTATGCTTTGGGGCGGTTAAAGAATTCCCTGCAACCAGCCGGATGATAAACTCTTCACCATCCTCTCAGGACCAGCATGTTCGCCATCACTGCAGCCTACCTCGAGGTGCAAAATGGCTGGATGCTGTCGCAGCCCCTTGGCCCAGTGTTCCAGGATCCCTATAGGCTCCATGGTTGCTGGCTTATGATGTACAGAATGGAGCTATGCAGTACTAATCATGTACATTGTTAGTTATGGTTCATTCTTCCATGATGATTTTATATGCCAGCATACTCCAATCAGAAGGGGTTGGAACCTAGTTACTAAGCATTGACACACAAACTTCAGAGATCATGTCAGCAGAGATGTGGGGATAGGTCAGGTCAATTAGTGACCTCACCAGCCGACAGTAATGATCATTTGAAGGTGGATATCCAAAATGGCGAAGCTTCCAGGCTTGTGAAACTTCATACTTTCTCTGGATCTGGGGGATCTGGGGGAAGAAGTGAAGGCCCATGGGCAGATGGCATGACCCATCACCACGGGGAAGCCGCTGGATGGCAAGACCCATCACTGAGGAAAGCAAAGATGAAGAAGGAGGAATGGCTCCAAATTGGGGGACATCACCAACTATAGAAATAAGGGCTGAACTTCTGAACCAAGAATATGGACGGATGGAACGGGATGGTGGATGGATGGATGCACGGATGTATAGAGAGATAGAAAAGATATAGATGTGCACGCGCACATAACAAAAACACCACACATACACAGACATGTCACGTATCCATATACTTTATGTATGTATAGAATTATGATTATGCCTGCATATGTCAATGAGTCTTCTTTGCGTCACAGATGGAATAACCCAGGAGTCGGGAACTTACCAGCTAGAGTTTAACTTAACTTACTGAGATGCATGCCCAAGTAGTATGCTCCAGTTAACGCATTTTTTTGATCGACGCCTCATATATGTACAAAAAAAGAACACGCATAATATACATATAAACTATAAACTTATTATGCATACAATCATTCATGGTACATTGTGTTATTGACCCCTGTGTTCCCGGCTTGGACGCTGTCCTTGCAGCTTGTCAGCTCTAAGGGGGGAGATGCCATGGAAACACATCAGACAGCCCTTTCAGTTGCCCTGCACAGACGAAGGGGATTTGACTTGAGATTTAGGAGCCTGGAACAAGACTCTGGAAGGACGCCAGCTGAACTGCGTAGTTCAACAGCCTTTCCACATTTTCAAAGGCAGAAAGGCGAAAAGTGCTTCGCATTTCACGCCGCGGATGGCATGGGGTTGGTCTGTGCCCCCTTCCGCCATCCCGGGTAGTTCCGACGGCCATGGCGGTGGGGGGACTGCCGTTTGATCCCTCCCTGCTCTTGGGCTTCGGAGAGCCATGGGACCAAAGCAAGGTGGGAGCTATTCGTTTTTTTTTTTCTCCGTGTCAGCTGAGCCGGTGGCCCGATGGCTGCCAGGTACAGATGCTGGACCATGTGGTGACCCTCATGTACTCAGGAGATCAGATCAAGCGGAACCTGGCACATGAGGTTCTTACCAAGGCGCCCGTTGGGGAAATTCAATGGACTCACGCAACGGTGTTCTACCCCGGGGCACTTATACAAAACAATCTTAAACCACCATTCCCTTTGCTTGAACCCCCCATTGCTGGCTTCTATTGAGAGGTATGTATTACATGTACGAATCGACTTTTAATGAGGTACAATAGGCTATGAGTCCCTCTATAGTTGGATAGCCAGACATTTGAGCCACACATTCGAGTTTCAGGTGAAGACGCATCCGGACTCTTGGTTTGCGGTGGACACCATTTTGGCCACGTCCAGTTCAGCAGATACCAAGTTCTTCGCACTGAACGTGCTGGAAAATGTGATCTGCACTCGCTGGATGGTGCTTCCTGAATCTCAGAAGTCTGGCATCAAGAGCCTTGAACAAACAAAAAAAGGCTGGTGTGTTTATGTGTGTTTTATGAAAAAATATTCCCACTTACTAGGGAATGAGGTTCCCGCAAAAGATGGAAACAAGTTTTTCCAGGCTACAGGTTCAAGTAGATCACTTTCACCTCATCATCTCACACCTTTCCAACTTTCCCATCTATTTTTTGGGCTTTATCAAAGATGGACCCGCCAATGTGAAACGGAGAAGCTCCTACAACATAGATCGGAGGCTGAACTGGTTACGGAAGAGCTCATCCTGATAGATCTGTTTTGGAACCCATATGCCATATGCATACAATTTTATATGTGCTACAGATTTAAATCATAGACTTCCCTCTGCCAGGGGATGATGTTGGGATGTTTCGCGCCCGGTGACCGTCCCCGCAAAGTGAAGCAGAGGAATTATGTGGTTCAGCTGGTCATCAAGATCAGCGCGGATGAGCATTTTGCCACCACCCAGAAGCACTTCTTGACCAAACTCAATGAGACCTTGGTCCAAATTGTAAAGCAGGACCCCGACACTGTGTGTGGACCGCTGGGCCCGACCACAACATCATTGGATTAATACATCAAGGTTGAAATCCCCATGACCCTCCAGCTGAAACATTTTTTACACCCCTCTCAACCTCACCATCTCCCCATCGACAGGAATGGCCGCATGCCTGGGAGAATTTTATCCCGGACCTCTGTGGGTCGTACAAGACCAACCAACTGCTCTGCGAGAACAACCTGCGGATCCTCAACATGCTGAGCCGCACGGCACTGACGCGGAAGGGAAGGTGACCCAAGGTGACCTGAGGTGACCCACAGTGTATGTTCGACCCTCGAAATTACACACTGCTGCCGCATTGCGCACATAGAATAGAATATATGTATATATATATATATACATTTTTTTTTCGGGAGGTTTTGTGTTGAAATGGAGGTTCCCGCGGCTTATTTCGCCATGATCACGGTTGCCGGGGCGCACCAGCGAGGTGAAGAGATCTTCACCTTCGGAAAGTCTCACATGGTCTCCAAAAAAGTGGTGAAGTTCCTTGGGCCTTGGTGCAGATTAGCTCCCCTTGGAAAAATTACAGGAAACGCCAATTTTTTTTTCGGATGTGAAAATAACAGTTTTCTATATTTATATTTTCCCTTACATAAACCAATATATTGATAATATCAACTCCACTTTGGGCCTGTAAGAGAGTGAAGAGGTCCGATACTAAACTTTGGGTGTCGCAAGGGAGTAGTCAAAATCAGGGTGACACCTTGCAGTTGCCTGCAGCCACTGATTTTCAGCACGGATCCTGTCCAGAAACAGGCTCATATTGATACCGGATGCCCACAAAATGCAAAGGTAGCAGGGGAAATGATGATAGATTCTGGGAGATTCTGGAGTATCCTGTGGATATTTTTGCACAAACCCAGATAGGCCATGATAGGCATGATAACTATCATTTGTCCGCTTGGATTCAACACCTCATCCTCCAGGTTGAAGGAATCCTTGAATTCTCAGTTCGCAGCAATCTACGCAACTTGGCACCAAAAAGGCCCCAAAAAGGACTACGTGACTTAAGTGGCGACGTGATGGTCATATGGATGGTGCCATATGGTGCCAGAATATGCCAGAATTTACTTGAGCCCAGCAACAGCATGGTAAGCGCACGCAGCGTTGAACTTATATTGAATCAATCTACCTGGGGTACGTCTAGCTTTTGCTATGCAGTGTTTTCACCTAGCAGAAGAGTGCAAAAACATCCCGCCGGATCGGCCATATCTGTCGTATCAAAATTGGTGAGCTATATACCACCTTGAAATATCCCAAAAACATATTAAGTTGCTTAGTTATATGCCATGAAACATTTTTTCCCTGAAATATCAGCATTTTTTTGGTTAAATTCACCATGTCTGTATAATACGTGCAACATGGTCACTGTAACCATCATGCTGGTTAGTTAGATCCCCTGAAACATCCCATGAAATCCCCTTTAAATCCAATTACATTGCCACTAAATCCCATCAGCCCCCCAAAAACTCACTATAACATCCATTACCATCCCATTAAACCACCATAAAAACCAAGAAAGTCACTATATCATCATAACATCCCCATTGAAATCAGCCTAAATTTCTCTCCAAAGTCCCATGTGAAATTTCGCCACCAAGGAGCTGTGCAATTTCATCTTGCGGAGCCATGTTCAGAGCCCGGGCTCCGTGAAACCCTCCTTGATCATCACCACTCTCAGTGCCTTGGGTCAAGGTTTTGTAATGGATTGTCTAACCAGCTGATACCAGCTGGTTATTTACTTCCTGGGAGACAGTTTGGCAGCCATGCCCAAGTGTTCTGCGAGACATCTTGATATTGAAACAAGATGTTTTCACCGTGGGTTTGCCACATTGCCTGGCCAAGCTTGTGCCATATGATATGGCTGAGATGATTGTTTCTGGTTAAGGGTGACAGCCCATACCCCTTTCCAGAAAACCCTAGTGCTACGGTTGTGAGCAGATTGAGTTTGGTCCCCTTTTCTTTGGATTTCTTCGTGAGTTCACTGATTATATCAGGTATATTGAGTATACACTCCCATGCTTTGGATGTCTCGCCGCTTCATCATCTAGATTGAGTCTGAGAAGAGATGCATGACCTTGTTCCACCTCTTTTGTGGCCAGGTCTAAGATGTCTAAGTCACTGATGGACTGATAGCTTCATTTTCTCATTGGTTAATTTCCAGGAGATCCATGGGCCAATCAAGGCGAGTACTTTAGCTTTGGTACCCGACTCGCAGCCAACTTCGCAGACACCAAAACAAGATCCAAGATTCATCCACGAAGCACGGGGGGATAGCTTCATTGCCACTTTCTCCCTATCAGTCAGACTTCCAAGGTACCTTAGCCAACTTCCTGGAGTGGATCGCCCTGGGCTTCATCTTCGAGACGGATCTGATCCAGATGCTCTTGCTGCACTTCTGGGACCCCTTGGAGTATCGCATCGAATGTGCCAAATGCCTCAACGTGTCTCGGAGATGAGAACAATGGGCAGCGTGTTCCCGTTTTTGGGAAGATGTTGATATCAGTATCGAATTTGGGCTAGGCACCAGTTTCAGACAAAACGCGCACATACGCGCGGATACATGTACACACACACATATATATATAAACCGATATGCAGGCAGATGTATATCCCCAGTAAGATGACAGTCATCTTAACACCTCTCATTATAATACAGGGATTTTTCAATGTCATATTGATTGCCAGAGGGTAGTATAGATTAGATTCGCGCAGACAACCCCTGTCGCCCAACATCACTTTTAGGTTTCCAAAGTTTTAGGGTTTAGAATTAGGGTTTTCTGGTTTATGTGTTTAGGTTTTAAGGTTTTCTCTTGATTGTTCAATTGTTTTTTGAGGTCTAGGGCTTACGGTTTAGAGTTTAGGCTTTGAGGCTCTAGGATTGTATGGTGTTATCAGGATGACTTGCGCAACGAGGCACAGGTCCCCTAAGCTTTTCAATGCCAAAACGGCCAACTGTTCGGGATGGGTATCCTTTGGTAATCCTTGGAAATGTCTACTGCTGCCCCTAGGTAAGATTGTTTCGAGCTCAAGTCGGTAGCAAATCTTGAGATTGACATTTTGAGAAGTTCATGCCGAACATTTTTTGCGTTCGTACATGTCCTTGGATGTGTACATGTAGTGGCAAGAACAACTTGTCGATCTTTGATAGCGGCACGGAAACAAAGCAACGCGCCGATTCCTTCAGCGTTTCGGTTGGGGTCTGAAATGGGGTGGCCCTAGACCCACTAATTGGCAATCATTTTCGCTATGAAAATAGCAATTCCTCATTTTCAGACACAGCCGCGGAGCCGCATCAAGTCGACTTCGCCAAGGAGATTGCTTGCTTGCACGATGGGGTGCAGCAGTACCAGCCGCAGATGATTCTTTGCTTCCAAGGCCGGGCCGGCATGGGCGACCAGTAGGCTGGCGCCTCCTGGCTGTCACATTTCCAGGGCAGATCCAACACGAGAACTGGGCAACATCCGCCCGAGCTGAAATCCATACAACCACAAGGAATGGACATGTCATTTGCCAGCAGGTTAGATCTTATCCACTTGCTAAGTTTATTGTTCAGATTGGTGTGTAGTTTGCGAATATTCTTGGCCAGCTTCCCAGAATTGGTTCAAAGGAAAATCTTCCGGAGACCTCTTCCTTTCAAGGTAAAAACCCAATGGAGTTCCGGTTTGGATTTTCACAGCAAACCAAACCATTTGACATCATTTTGATGGAAAACAAATTCACCATCTTAAATTAATGGTTAATCACGGTTAATCCCTTGAATCACCATGTATGTTGGTTCAACGAAATCTCGATTTTTGTGGGTAAAATCAGCGGTTCCCAGTGGCCGTCCCTGAATCGTCGAAAACTGCAGGTGTCGTCGAGAAGATCCAGCAGCTGCCAGAGAACATTCCCCAGAGTTCCGCAGGGCTGGCTGGGCAGCATCGGATCTTTTGGGAGGTCTTCCACAATCAGGCCCGCTTGGTGCTTGGTGCTTGGAGGGCTGCTAAAAGGGCTGAAACTTGTGACATTTCATGGTGATTTTAGATGGATTTCATGGGATTTAGTGGGAGTCAGTGGGATGAAATGGGATTTATATGTATATGTATATATATATATACATATAATCGTTAACAAAGAGATGCTGTCTGGTAATTTGTTGCTAACGAAGCCATGGCCTATATAGTGTATTAAGTTTGATGATAGATGATTTTCCTACAAAAGGTGATCAATCCGGTGGGTAGAGGAAGGGAGCCGTTTTCCGAGAATTTCAATTGGTAAACGATTTGGTGGTGAATTGGAATGGGAGCTATGGTTGTATCTATAGTCGCAGGATGCACAATTTGTAGGAAGGCATAGTCACAGGATTTTCCGCCGATTTTCCGCCCGAGTTTCCTGTAGGTTTTCCCTTATGCCAACTAAATGAGGATATTTTTGGTGAGTTGAACCAATCACAACTCTGGACCTACAAGTGGCAATGGACTTTTTCTCACTTACTTCATATCTTATTGTTTCAAGCCCTGAAAGATGGCATCGAATCCCATCGCAGCCCATCTCTCCTAGCCCTACAATGAGGTTGCACCTACCATGTCACTACGGTCAACTGGGTATATTTCATCATTTATGTCCAAGTACTGGATAGAGATCTCGCTTGAGTTGCTACCATCTACCTCAACTCACTGGGGGTATATAATTCACTTATACATAACGCGTTTCTCATAGTTAACTGGGGGATATATCGCTACCATCTACCATCACCAATTATCATTGGTTCAAGGGAAGATTTACAGGAGACCACCATATACCCTCCGGCAAACTAACAGTTTGCTATTGAAAATTGCCATTTATAGTTGATTTACCCATTAAAAATGGTGGTTTTCCATAGCTATGTTAGTTTACCAGAGGGTATCATGGGAAAATCCATGGTTTCCTGCAGATTTTCCCTGAAACCAATCCAGTGAACCTATCATTCTTCCGGTTGCCACCCGGAACCGTGGCGCGGCAGGTGGCATTGCTCTTGACCGGCTTCCTGAAGCATCACATGGACGCTATGGAGGCTCAGAGCGGAAGCTTGGACGCCATTAGGAATATCATCAGTAGATAGGAATATACCCTCTGGGAAATGAAGATAACTATGGACAATCGCATTTTTTATGGGTAAATCAACTATAAATGGCCATCATTTTCAATAGCTATGTTAAGTTACCAGTGGGTAATCGGAATATATCATCGGAATATCATCGAAGGAAGTTTAGAAGTCAAACTTCCGACAATATGGACAGATGAAAAGCAGAGCAGGGAAGAGGCAGAGAGAAGAGAAAGATTAGAAGAAAGAAGAGTAGAAGAGAAAGAGTAAGAAGAAAGAAGATGCAGATGCGAGAAAAGGTAGGAAAGTCGCGAACCACTGTGTTTTTCCAATGATTTGGGGCTCCGGAGGATCGAAAAGTAGGCTCGCTAAAGCGGCGGGTGCGGAGCCAGCTGGCCAGATGAGAGATGGAAAAGTGCACGCCGTTGTGGCGCGAAGCACATTTGGAAGTCAAAATGTGCAAAACACACCATGCTCGGACCACTTTTGGAAGTTGCGATGTCGAAAAAGTGCACGCCGTTGTGGCGCGAAGCACATTTCGAAGTCAAAATGTACAAAACACCTCAGCTCCGGACCACTTTTGGAAGTTGAGATGTTGAAAAAGTGCACGTCGTTGTAGCGCGAAGCACATTTCGAAGTCAAAATGTACAAAACACACCATGCTCGGACCACTTTTGGAGGTTCAGATGTCGAAAAAGTGTACGCCGTTGTGGCGCGAAGCACATTTCCAAGTCAAAATGTACAAAGCACACCAGCTCCGGACCGTTTTTGGAAGTTCAGATGTCGAAAAAGTGCACGTCGTTGTGGCGCGAAGCACATTTCGAAGTCAAGATGTCCAAAACACTAGGGACATCGGACCATTTTTGAAGGTTCAGATGTTGAAAAAGTGTACGCCGTTGTGGCGCGAAGCACATTTCGAAGTGAAAATGTACAAAACACTAGGGGTTCGGACCACTTTTGGAGGTTCAGATGTCGCTTCGCCGCTTCGCTTCATTACACTACACTACGTTACATTACACCACACTCCACTATACTACATTACATTACACTACACTACACTCCACAACACTACAACTACAACTACACAACTAGACTACACTCCACTACACTCCACTACACTCCACTACACTAAACTACACTACACTACATTACACTACACTACACTCCACTACATTACACTACACTCCACTACACTACATTACACTACACTACCTTCCACTACACTACATTACACTACACTACACTACACTCCACTACACTACAACTACAACTACGACTACACAACTACACTCCACTACACGAAATTACACTACACTACACTACATTACACTACATTCCACTACATTCCACTACACTCCACTACACTACACTACGTTACACTACACTACAATACACTGAATGACACTGCACGACAGATAGGCAGTTAGACAGATAGACAGATAGACAGATAGATAGATAGATAGACAGATGGACAGCTAGACAGATAGACAGATGAAAGAGGGAGAGAGAGAGAGAGATAGATAGATAGATAGGTAGATAGGTAGATAGGTAGATAGGTAATTAGATGAAAGAGAGAAAGAGAGAGAGAGAGATAGATAGATACATAGAAGATAGGTAGGTAGGTAGGTAGTCAGAGAAAGAGAGAGACAGAGAGGAGACCTCAAGCACCTTTCGGTCCATCAGTGGATTCGCTTTGCCATCCTTGATTCACAACGACCAACCTCTCCTATAGGTTTCCTATTTTTGAAACTTCTGCCACCGCCTTGTGCGGTACTACTGGTTATAGTTGATGATTTGGGGGGTTAAACTAGCCAATGTATTGGGGATTCTCGTCATGAGCTGGGAATCCTTACCTAACCAGAATTTCCTACTCACACAAACCCCAACCCCCAACTCACCAAGCCCCCAACTCGTTGCGAAATGTCTTAGGATATATGATGCCCGCCCTGAAGTATTTGGTGCGGATCTCCATGGGTCCCAACGAAGAAACCTTCAAGATCTGTGTGGAGCCGCTGGGAGGCACATTCCCATGGCCATCTGGTGACCTGGGTACCATTTGGCGGTGAAGAAACAGTAAATTATGACCCAGTTGTGAATGGGTTATCTCCCACTTAAACTTTAATTATATATATACCCTTAGGACCCTTTGGTAATGTAACATGGCCATGGAAAATCAGCCATTTGTAGATGATTTATTTCCATGGTAACTTAGATGACCTTCGGACTACGAGTCCATGTCGAAGTTGCCCATCCCAGGTTTTGGCAGACCTTTAGCGCGCGCGTGTATCTGCAGAACCAATCGCCTTCCTTCGGTGCCATGGGCGCGGGGGCCCCTTTGCTGATGGACGGCATGCGCCGGGATGCGAATCAGCAACGGGAAAGGCTGAGCCTCGCCGGGTGCATCGTGTTTTTTTCTCCTCCACGCCTTCACTAAACTGACAAAACGCGAGCGGGAACTCCATGGCTTTCCCGTTCGCAAATGATCTGCACATGGCGGATTTTCCATATCTTTTGGTATGTTTAGATGGTTTAGTGGATGTTTTTTTTTTGGGAAAATTTACAGGAAAAGCCTAAAAAACATGGGGGGTCAAAGCAGGCAGGGGTTCCAAGACATCGGCGCCGAGGAAACTCTATGCCCCACTGCTGGCGGAGGTTCGTCAGGTGCTGATTTCGAAGATGGTGAAGCCTCCAGAGGTCACCATCAAAGAAAACGAGGCGCCACCTGGTCTCCGGGGCGTTTTTTTTTGCGGGGAGTGTATTCCAAAATGACAACTTTGATAGGGAAGATAGGGAAGAACCATGTATTTCCTGAGGTTTTGAAGATTTTGAGACCGGAGATTGTTTGGGCTGTGTTTGTCCAGCAGAAGCGTGGGCACCGCAGGAGGGGCACATTGTGCGGGTGGAAGAGGAGGATACAGATGAGTTGCCTGGAGCTGTTATGAATAGCTGGCAAGACCCACCTCAATGCGAACCACTGGCTATTTTGGGCGATGCCAGGCTACCAGGGTATTGACACATAGCCATATGTTACCAAACCTGGGGTTGGCTGGGATCCTGGACCAGTAGAGCTGTGGCCAACTCAGTCACGCCAGGAGAGAGAGGGGAGAGATCAATTCGTTCGAAGTGTTGCCAGACACTTCGAAGTGATGGATTCCGAGCAATTGCTGCGATTTAGAACTGTTTCCACTGTCTCCAGTTGGGACATCATTTCTTTGGGGCCGCCCAGCACGAAAATCATTGAAGCCAGGGTCTACCACACCTAAGATGCCATAGAGATCCACCGATTTGCTTCTTGCAGTTGTGAAGAGAGAAAATCTCTGGTAACTACTCAGAAAAAGGTTTTTTTACCCCAAGAGCAGGTCTTCATTTCAGAAACCCCTATTGATTGGAGATGGTGTATGGAATGTTGGTTTTCCACACTAGATTGATTCTTGTGACTTAAAGGGGTAGTTCCTGGCATCTGAGGCTCGCATTGTACAAAATGATGCGCGAGGCGGGGAGCGATTCCGAGCACCAAGTATTTTTCTGCTGCAATTTGGGGATGGGTCAAACCCTAATAGAACGGTGTTTTGGGGGAATGAACATCCATTTTGCCAGCTATTTGGTGTTCACCAAGCTACAAGGGCATCGACCCACAACCAAAATGTCTCAAGAACTGCTCCTGAAAGGATGAGACAGCACTTTTCCAGGGATTGAACAGCTAGAGTCGAGTTGCAACACCGCTATTGTGGTCATGAAACCCAAATGACTTTTAGATCTTTTAGCCTATGAAGATCCATTCAGGTCGGTACTGAGTCGCTACCCTGAGTCGGTTTCACCGTTACCACTTGGTGCCCCTTTTTCAGTGGCCCTGTGGCCCCCGACCCAGGCCTTGATCTACCTGACCCACCTGGACCCTGAACACATGGAGAATCTGGTGCTGCAGCGGGTGGCACACGAATGTTTGGAGCGGAAGGACACGCTGGAGCGCTGGTGTCCGACCATGCTCCTTGGTGGAATACGGAATGCCTGTCTTTTTCTTGGGTGGTTGGGTGCAAGATAAATTAGCTCATATTTTTTTCAGAGAGTTCAGTGGTGATGTGGGCAATGTCAAGCTTTCAATTGCGTGGGTTATCATCTTGCAAGTGATATACGAATGGGGTGACTTGCAGTGGATGGTGCGGATTGTCCCTTAGACCAGGGGCATAGTGGAGTAGAGCAAAGCTTCTCCAAAATGAGCAGCCAACAGACTCTTGGCGCACTGCTGTGAAGAAAGGGAAGTGGTAGGGACTTAGGGAAGCACAAGTTGGCACAATGATCAGCTCCTATTCTTTTTCGTTGGTGAACGATGGGGTAAGAATCCAAACATCTACTGCAAGTGACCCCCCAGGGTAGGTAGTTGTAGTAGTTGTCGTAGCCTCATCTACGGCATGGGGCCATTGCTACCAAGGCTGAACCACTTGTGTTGGGCCATTGGTTCTATCAGCGGCGCCATGCAGGATCCAATCAAGATCTCCCGGTTTGGGCAGGGATGGTTCAATTTTTTTTTGGGCAAACATGCAGATTTTGCAAACCAATATCGAGCATGCCGCCAACTCAAGAATTCCAGGCGCAACAAAAGCAGAACAAAGTACAAAAAGATTTCTGCGGTCAATCTTTTTTTGACATGCCGAATCAAAGGTTCCTCAAGTTCTTCCCAGGACCAAGCTCTCGGGCTTGGACAATTCCGTAGCTCGCAGGAGTCGGAAGAGAAGAAGTTCGTGGTTTCGGTGATCCGAGATCTGCTGAAACTCTGCGATCTGAAAAAAGGCAAGGAAAATAAGGCGGCTGTGGCCAGCTGCTTGGCTGGAGCTGATTTGGAAGGGCTGATGGTCCTTTTGCAAAGTCGGCTTCATGTTTTCTCCAGGAATTGAGGCATTTCCCAAGTCCCAAGTGTAAAGTGTGAAGATGTGGTACCCGAGGCAACATCATGTATGTGGTTGGTCAATATCCGCGATTCCTGAGCACCTTGGCCTTGCAAAATGGTCCGATTTCCTGGGTTTGGGAATAATATGGAACAGCTGCATCGCTGGGAATGATGGGTCCCCCTCTCCTAAATCCATGGGATGATCTCATTTCAATATATTTCAATCAACTCTTACCGTTTTGCGCCTTCTCAGGGGTATTTGCAAGTCCCCCAACTCTGCCATTTTCCTGGCTCAGAAGCCCATTGGAAGTTCCTCAAGACGGTGATCTTCAAACTCTTCGAGTTTATGCACGAGACCTTCCCTGGGGTGCAGCAGATGGCGGTAGACACCTTCCTCAGGATCTGTCAGAAATGCCGCTTGACTAATACAATGATGTGATCACCTACAAATGGCAAGATGATTTTGAACACCAGGATGCACCCGTATACCAAAGTTGGACTGCCATTCTTATGTATATATATATATATATATGTATATAGATATCTATATATTATACATATTCTATGCCTTGTGACACGTGACACTCTAGAACAAGTTGCCAGCCGCTGCGCTGTGCAGGTAAGAAGAAGTTCGTGGTTCAACAGTCGCAGGAGCCGGCACCCTTCATTGAGACCATCCCACAACACATCGCCCAAGACATTTCGGAGTTGGAACATCTGCAGATCTGCACTTTCTTCGAGGCCGTGGGGCACCTTGGCTGTTGATGTTTGGCCGTTTGGCCGTTGGCACAGGGCCAAGGGCCCCAGAACTTCCCTCTTTCCCAAATAATGCCGCTATGGCCATGGGCCGCTGCCCAGGCACATGATCAGTGCAGCACATGTGGAGCAGAAGGGCCGGCTGATTTCGCTGAATCTGGCGCTTTTCAATGAGAAGTGGCAGAGTATCCTCCAGGGTTTCTGGATCAATTTCAGCCACAGATTCTTCAGATTCTTTCAAGAGTCTCATTTTTTTTTGTGATTTTCATGTGTTTACCCGTTTACCATCGAATTGTGCTTTATCCCCTGCTATACATAACAGTTTCATATTGAGCAGGGCGTCACAGTAAGGTTTGTCCGCCACGGGCTCGCTTGAGAACTTCGTGCAGAACCACCAGGTCTTGCGGGAAATCTCGTTGATTCTGAGGGTCAATGAACGCATGGTGGTGGCTGTGGGTACTGCGTGTCATGCACAACTGGCCAACATCTATTGCGCCTTGGTTTCGGTGGGGACTGAAGGGTTGAAGATGTTGAAGACAAGGGCTGTTGGTGGGAGGTGCTGCTTGAAATCTGCCCCCCTTCCACCTATAGCTTTATGAACAGTTTCGAACCCTTCCACTGTTTGTGGTTGAAGACAGTTCTCACCTCCGGTTCGGGCGATTCTTCGGTCCTTGAGGCCTCAAAAAACTGGGGGGAATGACCCAACATGGTCGATGTAGTCTGCCGTTCAGCCTCTCCCAAGATGAAACTTGGGCTTCCCCAAATCTGAGTTCCTCAGGTGATATGCTGAAGATCTACAAGGTCTGCAGTGATTTCATCTCCCACAGCACTGCGCAACAAGGAGTTCAGGTTGGCTCTGGTGGCATGGGCTGGGGGGGACTGCTAGGTGGATGGGTCAATCTTTTTCTGCTGCAAATATTGGGAGGAAACTAGTATTTTTTTTCCAAGGCTTCTGGTGGGATGTTCAAACTTCAAGTGGTTGAAGATCTTCCCCCAACTTTTTCGTTGCGATCTCGTTTCCATTTCTGCTTAGCAGACCCAATTTTTGGTTGGGATGAGAATGATGAGAGGCCTAGGTCCGTTTGGACGAACTGGATTCCCCTGACATCAATCTTTTGGGGAAGCATCCTTCAATGTTGAAAGGTCAGTTTCTTCCAAATTTCCAGCATTTTCCTCATTTTTGATCCTGTTTCCAGGTCGGTTCCTTCCAAATTTTCCAGCATTTTCCAGCATTTTCCATCATTTCCCTTCAAATTTCCAGCGCTTTTCGGCCTTTTTTCCAGGTGATGAACTTCTCCAACGTCCGGCTGCTGCGCAACGTGAAGCGCGACACACTGCGCCTGGTGCGGTCCTTCCTGGACGCCGCCGACGCCACAGCGGCGCCGGAGATTGCGCAGCGCTTCGTGCCGCCGCTGCTGGAGATGGGAGATGGGACGGGGTGATGATGTTTTAATGTTAACATGATGTTAACTAACCCACAAACCATCATTAAAAATCATTAAACATCATTAAACCTCATTAAAGATCATTAAAGATCATAAACCATCATTAACTTTGGTAACTAACGGGTGGTAATGATGGTTTATGATGTTTATATAATGATGTTTAATGATGGTAGAATGCTGATAAATTATACCCGTTATACCGTAGTTATAACCCGAAGAATGGTGATATAGTGGTGATATGATGATATAACCCAACCAAAATGGTGTATGACCCTCCAGTTATGGGTGTTGGTTTATAACAACCATTAATACTTATAGACTATATAGATCTTATAGTGATATACTTCTCTAATTGTTGGAGTTATGAGCGAACTTAGCAGTTATGTGGTTGGTTTATGAACCCACTATATAACGATAGTAACTATAGTAATATAGTAATATCCCACCAATAGTCATCTTTTTTTGGTGGCTGGAGGTTTAACATGATTTAACCATCAACACATGGGGATTTTATGGGTCCGAAATGGGATTTCAATGGAGGTTTGCTGGAGGATTAAGCATCGGGGATAGGATGGTTGGATCTAGTGGGATGAAATGGGATCGGCGATGGGAAAATCTTGGACGGCCTGGGGGGAAAGGTGAGTTAAGTGGTGCCAGAGATGGGTCCACTGGTACTTTTTTTTTGGCCAGTTCTTGGGGGATAGTCATCCATCTGTCGAGGTTTACATACATTTTTTTGATTTCTGGGATGGATGACCATATCAAACATACCAACTTGTGACCATGGCATATATATTGTTGTTGCACAGTATTCCCATATACATAGCCTCATTGTAGTGTCTCACTCCTATATACTGTGTTGCCAGGGCTCAAGGGCTCAAGGCTCAAGAAACAGTGCTGTCCGCAGGTAGTGTAATTGTTGGCTAATCCCGGTTACTAGCTTGTTTCTACAGGTTATCAGCCGTATCGCCAAGCGATCGCTGGTTTCCTTTGTCTCACCTTTTTCGTTCTCCTCTGACTTTCGCCATGTCTACACCCCCAGCGCTCCCTGCCCCGGGCGGGAACGCCTCGGCTGCACTGACTTTGACGGATGTCACGCAACCAGAGGAGGTGGTGATCCATTCAGGCGCGGCTACAACTGAAGGGGATATGAGTTACCTGGATGAAGAGTTTGACCCATGCCGTCAAGATCCACGCAGGAACATGCCAGGTGTCTTGGACTCAAACATTGACATCAGTCAGCTCAACACCATCAACTTCAACAGTGTTGATCAGCGTACCGCCAACGTGGCAGTGGTACAACAAGGTATTGATCCGAACCTGGCGAACCAACTCATGGCTGCTCAGCAGCAGGCATTGCAGAGTGAGGCAAATGTACGCCACTCTGAGGTCATGGAACGTCAACGGATGGAGCTTGTGAGTGAAGCTCGAGATCAACTTGCAAGCGTTGAACAACAAGCAGCCGAAGAAATTTCCAGGAGAAACCTTTTGTTGAACGAGCAAGCCGCCCAGGCGATGAGTGAGCAGAAATCTGCTCAACTGCAGGTCACAGCGCAGGATCATCGCATCAGGGAACTGAGTGCCGAACTGACTCATGTGGTCAACAGTGCAGGTGTCTTGACATCGTCTGCGGAGAAGACCAACGCTGATCTGCAGGCAGCACGTTCGGAACTCGCCGAGTACCGCACTCAGATTGATGCAATGAATCAACACGCTTTGAACATGCAGAAGCTGGCCGAATCTCAGAAGAAGGATTTCGAGGCAGAGATTGAGAAGCTTCGGAAGGAGCAGAGAGAGCTTATCCGAAATCTAAAGTCTCAACCTCTGGAGGGAACTCCTGGACTCATGATTCATTACGGTCCCGGAAAACCCAGTCCACAATCTTCGAAGCCCAAAGGTCCTACAATTGAGGAGTTAGCTTCGGGAAGCAAGAAGCCTCAGCATTCATCCGATGCTGACGATGAACATTTACTGGCAGAACCTTCGAAGCCACCGGGACTTCCCGGCGGTGGACCTCCAGGAGATGACGATGGTGATGATGACTATGACGACAAAAGAGGTCGCAAGGACAAGAAAGACAAGAAGAAGGATCGCAAGGCTAGTCGTGGCCGATCGAGACGACGACGTCGGAGAGATCCTTCATCTTCACCTTCATCATCAACATCCCCTACGACGTCAAGTTCGGATTCTGAGAGTTCCTTTGCACGAAAGGTCAAAAGGGCCTTAGAGCGTTCTAGGACCACTGATAGTAAGGCCAAAGAGTCTGATAGGATCCTAGTTCCTAAGTTCCCTCAACCCGAAAATTATAGGAATTGGAGAATCCGAGTAAGGGATGCCATAATTGCTGCTTCTGCCAAACCCGACCTAGCTTTTCAGTGGGTAGAAGAAGTGTTCAGGACAGACCAATCTGTCGATGCCTTGAAGGACTCAGGTAAATTCGTGACCCTGGACGCAAAGCTCATGTCTTCGCTCACCAACATCTGCGAAGGGGACTTTGCACGGCAACTTGACATCTTTAAAGAAGAACAAGCCAAGTCAGGGACACCAGCTAGGGGACGTCAAGCATTGCTCATGATTCACAAACACTTCAGTACAAGTAGGAAGCATGGTGCAGTGTACGACATTGAGGACCTCATGGCTGTTACCTTAGTCAATGATGATCTCAGAGGTTTCATCACCCGATGGGACGCTGTGATCGCTGGAATGACTTCCGAGCCTGACATGATGTGGAAGCAAGCCTACTTTCACAACGCCATCAAGAACTTCAAGCCTCTCTCTCATGATCTGGCTGTGTATGATCGCACACCGGAGGGGGAACCCAACCGCTCTTATGATTTTCTCATGAAAGCTGCGAGGGATTACCTAGAGAGGAGACGTCTTGAGAAGATGCGCCAGGCTACCAAGAAGTCCGTTTCAGGCAAAAGAGATGCTACGCCAGCACCCACGCGACCGCCATCTGCGGGAAAGCCCACTGGCATTTGCTATGACTTTCAGGCTGGCAAGTGTACCAGGGGAAAGGATTGCCGATACAAACATGAAAAGGCAGACAAAGGAAAAGGCGGAGGTAAGAAAGGCAAGTCTAGGTCCAAATCAAGGGGCAATGGTCGGTCTTTGTCTCCAGGATCTAGGAACCAAGTGTGTAAGTTTTGGAAGGCAGGTAAGTGTCAGCGAGGAAATGACTGTGCTTTCCAACACCCACCAAAGCCTGCAGCTGCATCTACAAAAGATGACAAGCGTGGAAAGAGCCAGAAAAAGAAGAAGAAGAACAAGAAGAAGGGCGATCGCTCCAGATCGTCAAGTCGAGGTTCCAACTCCTCGAAGGGCTCACAGAGTCTCAAGGACAAAGGGGGAAAACAATCTTCCTCTGGCTCAGCTGCAGTTTGCCTGATGCGCGCTCTGATGATGGTCGCAGTCGTCAACCCTTCGACCAGCACTCATCGCGTGCCGGAAGGCATCGCCTCTCCGCATTGTTTCAACCAGCATTTTGCCATGCCAGTTACACCCAATCGCACTGTTTCATTTGGGGGCAACGAAGAAATCTTCGAAGTTCCCATTGAGCAAAATTGTAATTTGCATCCGTGCCAAGCCAAACAACGAACTTTCAATCCAGTTCGCATCACCAAGGACGATCGTACTCGCAAAGATACGATCGAAGCACGAGAAAGTGATGCAATACTTGCAGCACAGATGTTGCAATCAGCTGTCTTTCGGGAGTTGCATGGTAAACTTTGCAAATGCAGCTTTGAATGTGACAGTGATATCGGCTGTCGCCACTGCATCCGTTCCGATTTGAATGCATTGCCAGGACACATGCCTTCTCAGCAGCGTAATGCATCCGCTGAAATTGCATGGATTGCTGACACCGGTAGTGCCCAGGACTTAGTTTGCAGCAAGATGATTCCCGATGACATTGTGTATCACTCTCATGAACCCCTTGAATTAATCACTGCAAATGGTTCTCAATCTGCTGACCAACAAGCTTCTGTTCATATTGATTGCATCGACAAAGAAGTTCATCCATATGTTCTTCCCGATACCCCGGCTGTAATATTGGTAGGGATGAGATGTATTCAAGATGGATGGGATTTTGTTTGGAAAAGCTTTAGTCGCCCATATTTCAAGAAGAAAGATGGAACTAAGATCAAACTTGAAGTCAAAGATTTTGTTCCTTATTTACCATCCAGAGATGGCCAGGTACCCGCTGCAGTAGGGATTCCGTTTTCATGGAACTCCGCTGCCGGGAACGGCAAGCCCATCATCCCACCTGTTCGAAGGTCTCGCATGTCAGCTGTCGGCACTGAGTCCGAGGATGAAGTCGAAGAGGTCGAAGAGCCTTATGAGGCTTCCATCGCAGATGACGATGAAATCCCTGGACATGGTGACGATAGTCTCGAGGAGTTCTTCCCTGGCGAACTTGCGCCAGGACCTCCAGCAGCCATGACACCTGAAGGTGATGTGGGTTCGGAAGATGAAGCCGAAGCTCCTGAAGAACCAGTTGACGGTCGACTTCAACTGCCTGAACCTCAACCAATTGATCGCGGTGAAGCTGCACTTCGAGAAGAGGCCAGGACCCTTAGGCACATGATGACACATACCCCAAAGAATCCTTTTTGTGAAACATGCAAATGTGCAAAGATGTACAAACCTACTAAACGTAGCAAAGGGGAATCTTTGACTGTGGAATCCAACAAGTTTGGGGATCACATTACTGGGGACCATCTTGTGACTAGGGATGCCAACGAACAATCAATTGATGGTGATAGGGTTGCTATGGTCATGAAAGATGTGGCTACAAATTTTCGTTGGATTTATCCTTCAGCTAGAAGTCATGCCAAGGATTGTGTTTTAGCTTTTAGACATTTCGTCGCGCCTGGTGAAGAAGTCGGAGTATTCTACTCTGATGCAGCGCCATCCATCAAGCTCGCTTGTCGGGAAGTTGGGTGGAGGCAGAACACTAGTGTTGCTTATATCTC